GTCCCCCACACTAGCTTCCCAGATGGGGACCCCCAAAGAGCTGATACTGGACCAATCGGGCACGACCCCAACTCGCTTGTGAGGAAGAACAGGGGGCTTTGAAACAAGGGGCACAAAAAGTTAGCAGAGGGCAAGAACCCACCAAGGGGGTGGGTCCCGGATTGGTCCGACGTTGGGAAGCAGGGCTTGAGAAAGTAGCAGAGCAAGGAACCACAAAGTTTGGTCGGATGTCCGAGTGGAGCAGGCTTAAACAAAAAACAAAATGCAGTCAAAGTGAAAAACAAGCAATTTCGAAATACAGAACATTAGAGCAGCGAGTGGAAAAGTTATAAATAGAACTTCAACCCGGGATGGTGGGCATTACACCCGTTCAACTGACAACAAATCCATTTCGAAAAGAAATGGGTAAAATCCTCAAATTTTGCTCCAAGTTTTATGACACAACAACACGAGTTTTGATTACAAGCAACCAGCAAGCCAGCACCAGCAGGGAAAAATACCTTACAAATGGACGACACTCAGTGGGGGAAAAAATTAAAGGCTCCATACTCCCAGGAGCAATGGCCAAATCGTTGAGGAAGGGGAGTCATATCTGAGTTCCTCCACTTCAATAATGTCTATGGAGTGATGTTAAAAAAGGAGAATTAAAGCGAGGAAAAAGTTATTGAGGCAAACAGCTTATGAGGCAAAAAAGAGATGGCAACAATTGAAGGCAAACACTTTCAGTAGTTAATCAGTTTGGAGAAAAAATATTACCGAAATCTGTGCAAAATAGGATACATGAACTACAGTGGTGAGGGGAAATTCATCCACAACCACTTTAGATGACTATGCACATGCCAAATAATGGGACACACAGCAAAGCAGTGTAAAGAAAAACTAAGGTGTGCGAGATGTGGAGGCCAACATGAGTATGGGAAATGTGAAAAAGAGGCAAAGATGAAATGCTGTAATTGTGGAGGAGAGCACAGTGCAGCGTTTGGTGGATGTGTAGTGCAGAGAGAATCCAGAGAAGCTCAGAGGGTCAAAGTTCTTAGCAAAGTCTCATATGCAGAAGCTTTAAAGAAGGTAAGGGAAATGGAAGCAAACAACCAGGCTCCTAGTGGAATGGTTCAAAGAAATGTAGTACAGAGTGGTAGCAACATAACAGAAAGTCAGTCTACAAATCAAAGCCAAGTTCCTGTGAAAAATAAAGAACATGATAGCATTCTCGTGGTAAAGAAAGTCAACTTTATGGCCTTCATCTTTCATACCATTAATGTTGCGGCACAGCTGAAAAAGAAAAGCGACAGAATCAAAACCATAGTGCAGGCTGCGAGGAAATTCCTTAACATTAGAGATATAAAAGCAGACCAGATACATGAATTACTAGCAATAAACAAAGTGGGGAAACAGACATACAGGATGGGGGTTAGCTCGTTATTAATGGTGATTCACATACTCCAGTGGAATGCTAGAAGCCTCATAGCTAATGGACAGGAGTTTAACAAATATGTCTATGAGTTACAAACATTGCCAGATATAATTTGTGTGCAAGAGACTTGGTTAAAACCTCATCTAGACTTTGTGATTCCAGAGTTCAGCTCTGTAAGATATGATAGAGCTAGCAATCAAAATGGTGGAGGGTGTGTTACTTTCCTTAAGGATGGGTTGGCCTATGGGTAGTCCCATCCCCTGAAGACAAGGAATGTGTCATAGTAGAAATTTGCAGCCTAAGGAAAGAAGGACACATAAAGCTTATCAATTTCTACAACCTGTGTAAAAATCTTCACATTGAAACTTTGCAGACAAAAGCAGGGACGGCTCATAGGAGGGAAGTATGGTGTGGTGATTTGAACGCTCACAACAGCCTATGGGGAAGCATTCAAACCGACAGTAATGGGCATATCGTAGAAGAAATGTTAGAAGAAAGATAATTGTTTTGCCTTAATGATGGACAAAAACAAGAATAGACGTGAATAGGGGGACAAAATCAGGGCAAGTATGAGGGCAACANAGAATAAGTGAGAAATTGATTTAAATTCTGTTAGACAGCTATATGCCAAACATTTTTGCATACATTCACAGTAAATATTTATTCAGTATGATAGCTGTCTACCAGAAGTTAAATTAATTTCTCACTTGTTCTGACAATGTATTTAACCCCAAATAAAAGAACCCAATAAAAAGAGTTGTTAAATAATAGTGAAGTCACGTTGTAATAACAATAACTCATCCCTCTCGAGTTTTCTTTTTGAGCTTTGCCAAAAGCCACTGTGTCAATTGTCCTACTTGGGTTGCCGTCCGGAGTTGCCCATTGCGCACTGCAGATCGGGCAGAGCTGCAGATCGGGTAGTGACAAAAAGGAAGTGGGGAAGGAAATATCACAAACAAAACATACAAGATTGCTGGGAATATTCCAAGTTCCAGGGGCGTAGGTTTGGATGGACAAGTAAAGGAAAAATAAGGAGATACGACATGCATGATTTAGAGTTTACACCATCAAATCCATTCAGTAGTGTTCCCCCAAGGCTTTTTCCAATGGTAAATATTAGTGATGGCGAGAGGAAGCTTTATGAAGCTTTGAAGCTTTCCAACCAATTGGTTCGCAAAAGGGTTCATCTCATGAGGCTTCATTTGAACCCCCTTGTTGGTCAAAGTGTGTAAAACAGGCAGATTTGACATCTCAACAGTGTGCTCTATCTCATACCGAGTTCCCAATGAGTAAAGCCTTAGAATAACTCTAAACAGTGAACATTAAATCATATTTTCATGTTAACAATATTGTATTTATTCCAGTTTAATGATTGTGATTGATAAGCCTAAAGAGGCTGGTAAACAATGCAAAGAGGGATTTGTATTCCAATTAATATTATTCGTAAACTTAACCATGTTGTAGCCTGAGAAAGGCTAAACCATAAGAATACATTTATTAACATTATTATAGTAAATATAGATATGAGTATTCTAGAAAAGAAAAGAGAGTGGCAAATAAATGAAGTAGGAATCAAAACAAATATGTACCTCAGGAATAATTATCACAATTACCTCAAAATATACACATGTCTAAGAACAAGGACGAGTGTGTTGGAGTTGGTATATCCCAGACTTTAAAATATCGATCTCGAAAAGAGCGTCAGGTCAACTATCTGTGTACACAGCAGAAATGCTGGCAGTAATAATAGGATTACAGTGGGTAGAAGAGGTCAGACCAGATAGGGTGGTGATATGCACAGATTCATTATCCATATTAAAAAGCATACAGTCAACAAAAACTGTCAGAGAAGACATACTCATAAATTAACCATAGCTTGTTAAGACTTCACAGAGGCGGTATAGATCTGCAGTTCTGCTGGGTGCCTGCACATGAGGGGGTGAAAGGGAACGAGTGTGCTGATAGATTAGCAAAAGGTGCACTAAAGAAAGAAATAACATTACCAGTTCAACTTGGAAAAGGAGAAGGAAAAGCAGTAATTAAGAAAAAAGGGGATGGAGATCTGGCAGAAAAGGTGGCAGAAAGACCAAAAAGGCAGAGAGTATCATAAAGTACAAAAGAAAATTACAATTAATATTTATAAAGAAAGAAACAGAAAGGAGGAAATCATGATAGCTAGACTCAGAATAAATCACACAGCATTGAATAGTATACGCTGATGTCATGGGGAAAAGTAAAAGTGACAAGTGTAGGAACTGTGGAGTTAAAGAAAATGTGGAACATATCTTATTACATTGTGACATCTATAAAGCTGAAAGGGAAAAACTAGAGGCTAAAGTTTTAGAGGCAGAGAGGGAGTGGAGTGTGGTTGGTATTCTGGGATCAGAAGGAGAGGGAGTAAGAGCTACCAGAAAGGCACTGTTTACCTTTCTGAGTGAAACTGGGGTAGGTAAAATAATCTAACATTAGGTTGGAATATATCATGGATTTTTGTTTTGTTTTGTTTTCTTTATTTTATGTTTTTATTTTATGTTTCTTTATTTTTTGATTAGATCATAGGCCTACGTCCATGAGTTGAGAGATGGAATGGCATGATGATACACACTCATGTACAGTAGGTGGCGGTATGCAACTAAAAGCTGTTGGCGATCTGCCATTAAAATAGAGAAGAAGAAGAAGACCCTCATTTCATTGCTTTACTCTGTTTGTCACCTAACTAAAAACGACTTTAATCGAGATTAACTGACGTGTATGTGTCCCATGAACAGTGGACCATGTCTACCCGGGCTCTGCGAAGGCTCAAAGGGAAGCAGCGGGGCCAGGAGGCCCTGGACGCCGGGGACCTCACTTTAGATGACAGCCCGGAGGAGCTGCTGGACACGGCTAGTGCTTCCCCCCCGTCTGATAGCAAAGGCAGAAAGGCAAAGAAAAACAAAGCCCAGAAAAACTTCAGCAACATTTATGAATTGGTGAGGTGATGTTGTAGTTATCCAGACATGATATATGTTTCTGTTAACCAACGTTACTGTGTGTTTCCTTCTGGCAGATGTTTACAGCGAGCTCTCTGTTGATACACCATGCTAACTCAAGCTAGCCGTGTGGCGTCAACGTTAGCTCCCCTTTTAGTTTATTAAAATAAACTAACATTCAACCAAAAGTAAACGTTAGCCAAGAAGCTAACATAGGAAGTAGTCTACACCAACCTTAAGAACACACTGACAACAAAGATCCAGTGGACTGTACAACAGTCACGTTTGCCAGCCTTTAAATTGTGTTTTATAGTGAAACAAAACGGAGATATAATATAGCTTCTTTAAGGTGAAGACAATCATTATTTTTATATTTTTCTTCAGAATTTGGACAGATGAATGTTTAAAATCAAGTTGAATATGGACTTTGATGCAGCCAGTATACATAATGTAGTGGAACTTGAATCCATACTACTGTACCTAGAAAGAGTTATTTAATTAAAAGTAAACGATTGATTTGTGCATTCATTAACATTTGGTTTATTTTATTAAACAAATGATCACTGTAAATCAAGACATCACATCATCATCATTATTAAATGAAGCTTATATGTTATTTACATCCATTTTATCCCACATCAATATCATAATGCATCACTAAATAATAGCCTGACTGGTTTCAGTTGTTCAGGTTATTATTAATGGATACCAGCAACTTAGGTTTTCAATGTTTAATCCAGAATGTTTCTCACTTCTAACACTGCTTTATCCAACTAACTATTTTGCCAATGTATCATTCTTTACTAGATAGGTGATGCAGACAACGAGGCAGAGATTATCTCACCTGATGAAGAAGAAGATACACCAGATGAAAATAAAACAAGTGGAACAGAAAAGAAGGATGACATTGAGAAACCAGATGAAAAGCAAGAGAATGCATCTACAAAGGTAAAGATGAAGCAATAAAAGGAGGAGTGCCTCTGATCCTCTGCTGAACTTACATATTCATTTCTGATATAAATGTGCATTTTTGTCTAGATATTAAACTGTAATCTCTCTTTACTTTAACAGTCGTCTGGAGACAGAGTTAAAAAGAAGAAGAAAAAGAAGAAGACCAAAGTGACAGAAGGACAGGTACATTTATTGAGAAAGGATTTATGTTCACAATAAATAGTAACCCTACGCTATATTTTAAGAATCAATGATAACTTTACTAACATGAAATCCATAAAATGAAAATAATTGTACATTATTAATGTATGTATTAATAACACTCTTACAATCACTTTTCATTGCCAAACATAGTATATACACACATTTTTCAAAAAGGGAGCTTTTTTTAGCAAGAGAACAACAGGTAAACGTTGTCTAACCACTTTGTATTCAATTATTTTAAGGAGGCTGTACCAGACGATAACATTGATTTAATACTGGAGAATCTGGAGCAGCCCAATGGACTGGGTTTGCAAAATGAAGATTGTGGAGGCTCCGACAGAAGATCTGTGCTACATGTGGAGCACAGGTAAGGAGAGCAACATCTCACATGTAGACAAAATGGATAGTCAGATCAGATATCGCTGCATAGCACTCACATGCAGTGCAAACAACACTCTGGTTCCTACTGTACTGTATTATTCCAGTAGTTATTTTGCAAGATACATCCAAGCTGAAAGGCTAAAAAATAAGCACATGAATACGTTTATTGGAGTAGAAACACTAAAATATCTCTGCTTGCATGACTTGGTCTATGGTCAGTACAGTAGCCTTACTTACTAAAATATACATTTCTGTGATTCCTTATGGACACCATGTGTTGGCGCATGACCCATGCAAAAAAAGTAAACTATTTGGAGTCTGTCCATCTCAGAATTGCATGGCATGAATTAACACTTGTTTACACAATTGTTGAATTATGTTGCACTTATTGCTACATAACCAGGGACGTCAGAACATGTCATATACCTATAATGATAGCACTGCATTTGATGTCTTGTAAACTGCTGATTTCACTGATGCAACCATTCTGATACAGAACAAGATAATGTGCTTACCTAATGCTTACATTGATGGCCAATATTAAATACGCACACTGTGCAGCCATGCCATTGATGGTATGTCCATAGTATATTGCTAAAATATAAAAACATTGGTACTTTTGGTTATCCTTCATGGAAGCCTTATTCGGCACTATTTCTTAAATATTTTTGAAGATGTAGTTAAAAGGTAAAAGTTGACCTTTCTAACCTAAAATCAGGTAAACAATTCTGTACACTGACATTTACAACATATGAGGCTTGGATTCTGGGTCCCACTGGTGTGATTACTAACTGTCAACTGTTAAGTATGGTCACCGGCATCAACATGTCAGCGTCGTCTCTTGAAAATCACAGAAAACACAAATAGATTTGTCTTCTTTTTTTTTGCATTTGTGTTGTAGAGTCTTTCATGCATGACAAAATTACAAAATGACAGGCCCTATGTTTCCATGTTTTTTCTCAACTGTCATTGTCGGCCTGTCGAAATCTGAATGTAACTTTTCTATGTCAATTAATAAGGAACCTCAACTCAGAGACGGAGCTGAAGAGATATTTTGGGGCTCGAGCTGTTCAGGGGGATCAAAGGTAAAAAGAAAAGTTGTGAGACTGTTTGGATTAACATTGCCGACATCATTATAAGATTTAGCTTATTCTTGTCATCATTCTTATATGTTTTTCTTGTCTTTTGAAAGACCTCGACAGAGAAACAGACAGTTTCACCGTAGCACCTGGATGACCATTCCTAAGGACAGCTGGCCTCGCTTCAGCCGCCCAGGTAGGCTTTCCCTTACACTTGTCTTGTCATAGCTTGTTGCTTTTTTAAATGCATTATTTCAGGCTGAATCTCGCTACTTAAATGTTGTCCTATATCTACAATTGCATACTTCGCTCCCACTTGACTGTTTTTTTCTGAATATGCTTCTTTATTGTGACTAAGTAGTGTTAAGATTCCAACGCCAATACACACACATAAGAGTAAATAGTGATATTATTGTACTCTTACAATACTGTATATAGCTTTGCCATTTATTACTCTGTTGTGTCATTCTTTTAGTTTTCTTCACAGTTTTTCTTGGCCGCTTTTGCCTTTTATTAAACAGTCATGATAAATATACTTTATTAGTTATATAGCACCAAATCATAACAGAAGTTACCCCAAGATGCTTTTCTTAGAGACCAGTTTTAGACATTACTTTTTAATTTGCAGACATACTGAAAATTAGGAGACAGTGACTTCAAATGATGGAAACAATTGTGTTATGGCAAGGTCCCAAGGCTGGAATCATCCCCCCCTTTTGATGTCTCCACAGGAATCTCAATGACCCTACTGCAGTCAAAGGATGGCATTCAGTACTTTACCTTTGAGCACGGTCGGGACTACCAACAAGTACAGTTCAAGTTCCTGGATGCTGTTGAGTCGATGGATCCCAACAACATTGTGGTAAAACAACCAGCTCATACGTTGTCTTTGCTCTTTGGTGTCAGTGCGTTTAATGATTATTTATGATATTTTAAATCAAGCATCCTCAGTATTGATGTTGCCAGGGATTCATAAAATAAACTGTGATACTGTTTGGCATGAATGGCCAAATAACATCCCAAATGGAATGTTATTTGTATCAGCCTTTCCAACTCTTGATTTGGCATTAAACTATCCTATTAAATCATCATCAATATAAAAATTCAACAACTGCAATTTTAATGCTCTCGTTCATAGTACTAAGAATGTGTTCCTAAAACTTTAAGAGAAAAGTCAGCGTTTAGCCCATATTTCTGATGATTTTACAGGTAAAACCCAGTTTGACTTCCTATATGTCAACATACTAGGGCTGTACCCAAATTCGTTGGCCCACTATTCAATTTTGAATATCTTTATTCGGATTTTCTTTTTTTGGCAGCCAAATTGAATTGATTGAAATCTCCAATATCAACGTAAGAGCTTGTGCCTCTTCGGGGGGTGCTAACACTTAACCATACACTTTATCCTTTACTTTCTCCGTCTTTATTTGTGGATATTATTTTTCTCCGTTAATCTCCGCTCCTTTTGTCCGTCACGTTGTTTCCATAGCAACAACAACTTCCTGTCAACAGCCCTAACTCTCCTTCAAAATAAAAGTATGTCCATACAAAATAGGAAGCCAAGCCAAATTACACTTAAGACATATATACAACTGCAACAAAAGTAACAAATGCAATATCCTTTTCAATTTCAAAGAAAATAAATTGGGTTATTTACTTAACAAATAACTATAAAACAACAATACTGTAGAATAACAAAATGAATGCCTTGAATAAACCGACATACATGTGTTGAAGCGCGCGCCGAATATTCGCTGCTGACTACTACCTAATATCCGGAGCCTGAAAAATGGTATTCGGGACAGCCCTACAATATACTGACAATCTACATTTGCACAGATACTTCATCAACATGCATTATTCACATTTTCAACAGGAGGTTGAATGCATTTCTGTCTTTATGTCTTTGTCCTTCCCTGTCAAAATGACCATTGTCCCTTCTCTGTTTCCCCAGGCCTTGCTGCAGTTGAACCCGTACCACATTGATTCTTTGTTGCAGCTCTCTGATGTCTGCCGCATTCAGGAGGATCAGGAGATGGCCAGGGACCTCATTGGTGAGGATCATGGACTCCCTCTCTAAATCCCACTTTGAAACCAAATATTGAAGATGTTTTTATTGCCAAACAATTACTTTTGGGTTATTTTAAACAAACTCTGCAGGCAGAATGTTAAATAGCCTAACTATCCACATCCAAAACTGACTTTAGTCAGTCCACTGATGACTCCTCATTTGTCAGATTATCAAACTATATAATTGTGGTTAATCTAGAGCAGTGGTTCTCAACTGGTCAGGCCTCGGGACCCACTTTTTACTTGGTCAATGCATCGCGAGCCAACATTTTGAAGCACTCAAATCTATTCAACAAAAAAACGTTCTGTAATATATATATATATATATATCATATATATATATATATATATATGCTTTTCAGCATACAATATTAAATAAAAGTGAAGTTCAGTGCATATATTCCTTATATCCTCCCTTCACAGCAGAACCTAAGTATGCTTTTTAAAAAAGGTTTAATGAGATGATGGAATCAAAGCTGAACTATATAAAAAAGGCACACATGCTGAAAACCCAAACGCCAGCAGAGGGGTCTGGGGGATTTCCATGGCAAGCGGCAAACTCTCGGAAAGAGCGCGGGACGCTAATACGGAAGTGCCCTCAAAAACTGCAGTTCATCTAGTGGCCAGTAGGAGCAGTCTGCAGAAGGGAGCAATTTCCATAAGACCCCCATGTTAAAATGCCCAAATTTATAAGCAGAAATAAACATGTTTACATCGTGGTTCAAAAAACCATATTCTCCGTATAGTTAGATCCCCCCTTCAATGAATATGGATTGGGGGGGTGAAATTTTTCTCACCTCATCTGTCTTAATTAATATTAAGCTTAAAGCTTTTGGCATAAATTAGGTCGCGTGGTCACTTTGATGGGACATGTACATGCCTCACTGCTCAACATACAGCAATTTGTCCCACTCTGCTAGGCTACAACCATAGAAGGCTAACGTTAGTTAGTTGTATTACTGTAACTGACCCTTTAGCTTTAGAGCCGTGTTCGGGTGATTGTGCCTTTTAGGGAATATTGTATACAAATACCAGACAATTAAAAATGTTGTGCTGTGCGCTTGAATTTACTAACAGAACTTCCAAGAAGTCTAAAATGATAATATTAACATGTCCCGTTCGCAGGTGTTTGTGTGCTTGGTAGCTTAGGTTGTTACTTATTAGCCAGCTAAGGACGTAACCCTTTATACATTACATTACATTTTAGTTTATGATTCAGCCCTTGGGGTAAGACTTTATAGTCTATGGCTATGACGCCCAATAATGCTAAACGGGAGCAATGTTAATAGGGGACCTAATTATCCCAGTGGTGGCCGCCGGAGCTAACGGAGCCGCAGGGGGCTAGCTCCAGCCGGGTCCCGGAGCTAGCCCCACTGCGGCCCGTTAGGTCCGGCGGTGGAGTCCGGTCTTTTCTTAACGTGTGAATGACAAGCATTAAATAACAAAATATAGCTAATTCTCTTGCATATTGTTCATTTGATTATGAATGTAATATTATATATGGGGAAACTACACTGTGGTATGTATTTCATGTTAGCTTAGGCTTCTAGCCTGAGCTAGCTCTGGTTTACTTCCAGTTCGGAGGCAGCAGGTCCCGCCTCCTTTGCCCTTATTTGGCGCAGGCGGGATTATGACTCTGACGTCGCTGTCAAGCGCCCGGCGAGTAGCTGGCCGACTCAGCCTACTAACGGGCTTTCTCAGGCAACTCCTGGCCAGAGCATCTCATGGGCCGCGCGTGGGTGACGTCACGGACACTACGTCTAGATTTAATATACACGTCCTATCGATTCATGTTAGGAAAATGGCGCCTTCAAAATAAAAGTTGTGACTTTTTTCCTCCCCAAAAAAAAGAAAGATCGGTCGCAATTTTTTTTTTCAGCATTTTTTTTCTTCAGCTCACACAGTCGGCGACCCACTTGAAACGGGCGACCCAACAGTTGAAAGAACACTGATCTAGAGCTCACTGTCAGTGTGCTTTGGTTAAATTGCAGGGCGGGGAAGTAGGGGTGCTGGAGGGTGCTGCAGCACCCGCTTGGTGGAGACAGGGGATCTGCACTTCAGCAAGATAAATCAAATATAATTTTAAAAAAACGAATTGTCGCCTTGATGTACAACATTCATAATTACGTAACGATAACCCACCTTTTCACCCCAGTTTACATGTTTCATTGAGCTCTGTACGATGGCGCTGTAAGTGATGAAAGTGGGAATGTTTGACTTATCAGGCGCCCGCAGCTCATCAGCCAAAGTGGAGAGAGAGATGAGAGAGATAGACTAGAAGATAGATAGAGACGAGGGGGTGCACCGGTGCCGGCGGGGATTGTTGTTAGCTTCTGACTGCTACGTTAACACGGATATAAGAAGCTGTGTTCTACAATAATGTGGAGGGAGAGTTTTCCTGTCGATCTGAAGGTCAGTGAGGTAAAGGATACTGAGTGGTTTATAGATAGTCGACTTAGTCTAAGTTATCTCAGTGGGCTCTCAAACGTTTTGATCAAAATATGTAAAGCAAATATTTCAAAAGGGAACACCTTATAATTATTAGGAATAAATAAAACAGGTTTTGAAATCATTCCATGTATACATAGGAGAGTAAACCAAAAAAATTGTTTAAAACTGAGAGATTTAACAATATGCAAATAAATAAATAATTTAACTGATAAAGTAAAGATATGAATGAACACAAAATAAAACAAGTTAGCTAAGTCCTACATTTATTTGTTATTGGCTATGGTCAGGGTTAGTTGGTTATGTTCCACATACAACTGGATCTTTTTCACATGGGTGTGTTAGAGTTGTATCACCTAGATCAGTCTCTAGTAATTGGGCGGCTCAAGCTGCACAGATTGAAGTATTTTACTTAAAATGTTATAAAAATCTTCCCGGGGGGGCACCCCAGGACCCCTCAGAGGTTGTGAGTCCACCCCGCAATTAAAACATGTTCATAGCAATACTAAATACATTTGAAGCCTTTTTATATAAGCTTCCACCTATCAATACGTTTCCTTTTTGTAGTGTATGTGGTCTTTTGTAGAGGTTTTCATTGCCAGCTAAAAATCTTGCCTAGGGCAGCGCAAATTGGTCAGACCAGCCCTGGTGTCCTCCCACACGCAACTCCTCATTTGAAACATTGTTCCACGGCTATGGTTAAATGTAAAGGCAAACAAGAGCGCCATTTCCTTAAAAAGTTCATTCTCAGGTGAAGCACATACATATTACAGCATGCTCACCCTGATAGCATGAATGGGTTAATTGTAATGTTGAATACTAATTAGAAGGGATTATTTAACCAAATTGCATTTGGTCTTTCGTGATAGAATTTTGTTAAATCAACACTCAATTGAACTCAAAGGAGTTGAGTGGCCTTTGGTTTCTTCTGTTCTTTGGGATTGCAAAGCCCTGCGGTAAATCTCAAAAACACAACACAACGAACAGACTCATCTCACAGCTGCAACCTATGTGTCTCGTTCAGTTCTGCTTACATACACTGTGCCCAGTTTGGGAATACATCACTGAAAATGTACTGTTATGTGTGGATATAATGTTTTTCAGAGAGGGCCATGTACAGCTTTGAGTGCGCCTTCATCTTTATCAGTCTGCTAACTCAAGCACCAGCAGAGCTGGATGTATCCGAACAAGAGAACAGGTTGGGGCATGTTCTTAATGCTTCTTATTAGACACCTTTGCTTTTTTTCGAAGCTCTGTCCACTAGATAAGATCTAAATAATACAAGATTACTTGAATTGATTGAATTAAATGTGTTTTGAGGATGGATTCATGCGTCTCTTGGCAGGGCTTCCTTTATCTGGCTCTTATATAGCACAGATGTTCCTGGAGATAGAGAGGCTGCCCAAGGACGGCTCTGGAGTACCGCAAACTCTCCTGAGGTACAAAGGGAAGATCACTGGGAAATGACGAGATGAATAGCTTAGAGGAAACCGCCAGAGCAAGTTTATTAAGTATGTTTTCCACAGAAAGAATATCCTGGTTAAAGGTTGACAGCTGCTTAGTCCCGTCCTTTGGTGGTCTGTGAGGGGCTAAAGAGAGGGTGTTTCCCCGGTCTATTTGATTGAAGACTAGACATGAGCAGAGTGTGCATGTGAGGGAGCCGTGCTGGAGCTTGCTTGGGGTGTGTGAGAGGGCTAAGAGAGGTGTTTTTCCCCTGTCTATTTGATGGAAGACTGAAGCATGAGCCGAGTGTGCATGTGAGTGGGCGGCGCGGAGCCGTCGGCTGGAGCTGCTTCGGGGGTGTGTAGTGGGCTAACACGAGAGAGCTGTTTCTCGCCCGTCCTATTTGATGGAAGACTGACATGAGCCAGAGTTGTGCACCGTGCTGGGAGGGAGCCTTCGCTGGAGGCTGCTTCGGGGGTGTGTGAGGGGCTAAAGGAGGTGTTTTCCCGGTCTATTATTGGAAGACTGACCATGAGAGAGTGTGCCTTCGTGTGAGGGGACGGCCGTGCTGAGCTGCTTCGGGGGTGTGTGAGGGGCTAAGAGAGGTGTTTCCCCGTCATTTGATGGAAGACTGACCATGAGCAGAGTCGTGCATGTGAGGGAGCCGTGCTGGGTCCTCGCTGTCCGGGGGGCGCGTGTGAGGGGCTAAAGAGAGGTGTTTCTCCCCGGTCTTATTCTGATGGAAGACTGGCATGAGCAGAGCGTTTGCATGTGAGGCGAGCCGTGCTGGAGCTGCTTCGGGGGATGTGTGAGGGGCTAAAGAGAGGTGTTTTCACCCGGTCTATTGGATGGAACGACTGACATGAGCAGAGTGTGCATGTGAGGCCGGTGGAAGCTGCATCGGCCGTCGGGGGTGTGATGAGGGAGCTACAAGAGCAGGTGTTTTCCGCGCGGTCTAGAGGCGCCCTGTGGTGATGGGAAGACTGCGACATGGAGCAGAGGTAGCCGTGGTAGGGCGAACGCCGTCGCTGGGCGCCTGCGTCGGGGGTGTGTGAGGGGCCTAAAGAGAGGTGTTTTCCCGGTCCTAATATCTGAGGACAGACTGACATGATGCAGAGTGTGTATCGTAGGGAGCCGTGCTGGAGCTCTTTCGGGGGTGCTGGAGGGGTAAAGAGAGGTGTTTTTCCCCGGTCTATTTGATGGGAGACTGACATGGAAAGTGTGCATGGAGGGAGCCGTGCTGGTAGCTGCCCCTTGGGGGTGTGTGGGGGCAATAGAGAGGTGTTTCCCCGGTCCTATTTGATGGGACTGGACATGAGGCGAGTTGTGCATGTGAGGGAGACCGTGCTGGAGACTGCTTCAGGGGTGTGTGGGAGGGGCTAAGAGAGGTGATTTTTTTTTTTCCCCCTGTCTATTTGATGGAGATGATATGAGACAGAGTGTGCATGTGAGGGAGCCGTGCTGGAGCTGCTGTCGGGGTGTTGATGGGCTAAAGAGAGGTGTCTTCCTCCGGCTATTTGATGGAAGACTGACATGAGCAGAGTGTGCATGTGAGGGAGCCTGCTGGAGCTGCTTCGGGGTGTGTGAGGGGTAAAGAGAGGTGTTTTCCACACGGTCCATTTCGATGAACGATGACACTGAGCAGAGTGTCATGTGAGGAGCCGTGCTGGAGCTGCTTTCGGGGGTGTGTGAGGGGCTAAAGAGAGGTGTTTTTCCCGGTCTATTTGATGGAAGACTGACATGAGCAGACGTGTGCCATGTGAGGGAGCCGTGCTGGAGCTGCTTAGTCCGTCTTTGGTGGTCCTGTAGAGGGCTAAAGAGAGGTGTTTCCGGTCTATTTGATGGAGACTGACATGAGCAATGAGTGTGCATGTGACGGGAGCAGTGCTGGAGCTGCTTCGGGGGTGTGTGAGGGGCTAAAGAGAGTGTGGTTTCCCCTGTCTATTTGAATGGAAACTGACAGTGAGCAGAGTGTGGCATGTGAGGGAGCCGTGCTGGAGCTGCTTCGGCGGGTCGTGCTGAGCACGGGCGTAAAGAGAGCTGTTTTCCGCCCGGCTGCTAGATTGATGGAAGACTGACATGGAGCAGCACGGCGCGCGCCATGTGAGAGGCGGAGCCTTCGCATGACTCCGCTGTCGGCCGGGTGTGTGAGGGCTAAAGAGAGGGTGTTTTCCCCGGTCCTATTTATGGAGTGACTGGACATGAGCAGAGTGTGTGCATGTGAGGAGCCCGTGGCTGGGAGTGCTTTCCGTGGGGTGTGTGAGGGGGCAAGAGAGTGTTTTCCCCGTCAATTTGATGAAGACTGACAATGAGCAGAGTGTCATGTGAGCGGAGGGCCAATGCTGGTTCTGCTTCGGGGGGTGGAGGGCTAAGAGAGGTGTTTTCCCGGTCTATTTGATGGAAGACTGACATGTAGCAAGTTTCATGTGAGTGGAGCCGTGCTGGAAGGCTGCCTCGGGGGTGTGTGAGGGCTAAAGATGAGTGTATTTCCCCCGGTCTATTTGATGGAAGGACTGACATGAGCAGAGTGTGCATGTGAGGGAGCGTGCTGGAGATGTCTTAGTCCGTCCTTTGGTGGTCTGTGAGGGGCTAAAGAGAGGAGTTTTCTTCCCCGGTCTATTTGATGGAAGACGACATGAGCAGAGTGTGCATGTGAAGGAGCCGTGCTGGAGCTGCTTCGGGGGTGTGTGATGGGGCTAAAGAGGTGTTTCCCCTGTTATTTGATGGAAGACTAGACATGAGCAGAGTGTGCATGTTAGGGAAGCCTGCAGGAGCTGCTTCGGGGGTGTTGATAGGGGCTAAAGAGAGGTGTTTTCCCCGTCTATTTGATGGAAGACTGACATGACAGTAGTCATGGAGGGAGCCGTGCTGGACTGCTCGGGGGTTGTGTGGAGTGGGCTAAGAGAGAGTGTTTTCCCCGGTATTATGTTGATGGAAGACTGCCATGAGCAGAGGTCGCATGTGAGGGAGCCGTGCTGGTGTCTGCTTCGGGGGTGTGTGAGGCGAAAGCAGAGGATGGCGTTTTCCCCGGTCTATTTGATGGAAGATGACATGAGCAGAGTGTGAATGTGAGGGAAGATCTCCCGTGCTGGAGCTGCTTCGGGGGTGGTGTGAGGGGCCTAAAGAGAGGTGGTCCCCGGGTCCTATTTGATGGAAGACTGACATGAGCAGTAGGTGCATGTGAGGGAGCTGCCGTGCGGAGCTGCTTCGGGGGTGTGGTGATGGCTAAAGAGGAGGTGTTTTCCCCGGTCTAATTGATGAAGACTGACATGAGCAGAGTGTGCCTGTGAGGGAGCCGTGCTGGAGCTGCATTCGGGGTGTGTGAGGGGCTAAGAGAGGTGTTTTCCCCGGTCTATTTGGGGGGGGGATGGAAGCTGACATAACAGAGTGTGCATGTGAGGGAGCCGTGCGGAGCTGCTTCGGGGGTGTGTGAGGGCTAAAGATAAGGTGGTTTATCCCCCCGGTCATAACTTTGTGGAAGACTGCGCATGAGCAGAGTTTGCTGTGAGGGAGCCGTGCTGGGACTGCTCGGACGGGTGTTGAGGGCTTAAAGAGAGGTGTTTTCCGGTCTATTTGATGGGGAAGACCTGGACATCGGAGCACAGGTGTGCGGTGGAGGCGAGCGTGGCCTGGGACGCTGCTGAGTCCGTCCTTTGGTGTCTGTGAGGGCTAAAGAAGGTGTTTTCGCGCCGGTCTAGCTATTTGATTGGAAGATGACAATGAGCAGAGTGTGCCATGTGAGGAGCCCGTGCTGGAGCTGCTTCGGGGGTGTGTGAGGGGCAAAGAGAGGGTTTTCCCCGGTCTATTTGGATGGACGGAAAAACCCCCCCCCCTGAAATGACAGAGTGTGCATGTGAGGGAGACGTGCTGGAGCTGCTTACGGGGGTGTGTGAGGGCTAAGAGCAGGTGTTTTCCCCGGTTCTATTTGATGGAAGACTGATCATGAGCAGAGTGTGCATGTGAGGGAGCCTTGCTGGGCGCTTCGGGGGTGTGTGAGGGGCTAAGAGAGGTGTTTCCTCCGGTCTATTTGATGGAAGACTGACATGAGCAGAGTGTGCATGGAGGGAGGCGTGCTGGAGCTGCTTCGGGGTTGTGAGGGCTAAGAGAGGTTTTTTCCGGTCTATTTGAATGGAAGAACTGACTGAGCAGAAGTGTGCATGTGAAGGGACCGTGCGGTTCTGCTTCGGGGGTGTGTGAGGGGCTAAAGAGAGGTGTTTTCCCCGGTCTATTTGATGGAGAAGACGTGAGCAGAGTGTGCATGTGAGGAGAGCCGTGCTGGGCTGCTTCGGCGGGTGTGTGAGGGGCTAAGAGAGGTGTTTTCCCCGGTCTATTTGTAAGATGACATGAGTCAGAGTGTGCATGGTGAGGGAGCCGGTGCGGTTCTGCTTCAGGGGGTGGGTGGTGATGGGCTTAAAGAGAGTGTTTTCCCCGGTCTAATTTTGATGGAACGACTGACATGAGCCAGAGCTGGCATGTTG